CACGCCATTGGTTTGTTTGAAGTAGTTGCCACCGAATGAAAAGCAATTGAGTGTTAGCACTAGTTCGGCTGGACGGAGTAGTCATTTCAGAGCTAGGTTCCTTAACAGTGCGTCGATCGAAAAAATGTTTGAGGGCCCGGAGACCTTCGTCATTAGCAATGACAATATGGATAGATGTAATTTCTATAATGAAATAAGTTTGTTTCGGCCAAGAAAATTTAAGTCATGAAAAATTTCAAGTGTGTGTTGACTGTCCTTAATACATCATGGTAAAGTTTTGACGATAGGTTCCATAATTTTGTCAAAATAGCTGGAAATAATTTCGGTGGGACAACTGCAGGCAGAGACAATGGGTCGACTTGGGTAGTAAGCTTCTTTTTGTTAAAGGTCGGCTCGCCAAACAACGACTGCGCCGCCTTTGTCGGCCGCTGTAATAACTATGTCTGCGTTTTTTAGACCTTTCAGTGTCGACCACTCTTTAGAAGAAAGGTTAGAAAAGTTGATGTCAACACCAAATTTTCCTTTTACTTTCTTCGATCAGTGATTTCGTTGTTTTCTTTATGTGAGACGCACTCGATTACTCATCAATTCTTTCTTTCCCGGAAAATCTTTTTCGAAAAGGTTGAAGTTTCCACTCAATCCGCATCAAAGAGCAAGGAAGGATATGACGTCATAGTTGCGTCGGTCCTCTTAGACTACATGAAATGTTTACATACAGACAACGAATCCAAGTCAATACAACTACGATTGACAACACTGATACCTGCCGATATATTTTAGAAGGCTGTTGTTTTTGGATAAGGTCACGATCAACTGTGACTCGAAAATATCGTTCAACAGAGGTCAGTTATCACAGTGTTTTATTTGAGTTTTTACTTAAAAAATGAATTTTCAAACCGTATTGGAATAAGAAATGAAGAACGGTTTAAACTCTCAAAAACGTACAACATCCTGAATAAATTTTTAATATTCCATTATTTTTTCGTGTGTGTCTCGCATTTTTCTGTATTGATTGTTTTCTGTTTGTTGTCCGATTGTTTATGTTCCCTTTGAAAATGTTTTTGTTCACTACGGTGAAAGAATTGATGAATTGAATTGGATCAAATGAATGAAGTTTGAAATCCAAATTAGTGCGACCGCATTGACGGCCAATCAACAAGTTTACAAATAATAAACCACATTTTCTTTTGACGTCAACAACAAAACCAAATTAGGCGGTCGGCTGTTTCTTCGGAAGTGTCTGAAAATTCATCAAGTCGCAAATGCGGGTTAAAATAATTTAGATTTGCACCACTGAAAGTGAAGTGCGCAAGAGTCAACGTTTTCTCGAAAGCAGTACCAATTTTTCTTCGGTTTGCATGATTTATTATTTATACAGAAGGAACCCCATCATTTGTTTTGGCTCGTTGGTCACAGATAATACAACAGCTCATCATCATTGTGTAATGTAACTACGTAAGCCCGCTCACGCGGATCAAGTCACTTTCGGTCGGTCTGTTTTACATAAAAATTTTTACGCTCAGATGACAAGTTTGAAGTTGACCTCCTCAAATGCGATGACGCGCTGAATATCTGGTTAGCAGAAGAGAACTTCCTTGTTGTGGGCCATTGAAGGCACTCATATCTAAATTAGATGAGGTTAGTGATTATTTCAGTGTTTGGATTTCAGTTTTGATCGGTATCTGAACAAACTTCTGTGTTGATGTGTTGTGATTTGCGTGATATTGCGCTGCAGTGTGAAGTGTGTTCAATAGAAATTTATCGCGAAATAGAACATTTTCAGATAAGCAGATAATGTTTCAGAGTTCCTGCTATAGACAGATTAAAATTCATGCGCTAATGTGCCCTAAAATGGGAATCCATAGACCGGAAATCGACTTATGCGTTGGTAGTATGAATATAATTTCTTCCGACTAGCATTTTAAACTCACCAAATTGATGTTACAATACTGTATTTTAAGCTGTGTCGCGAATTGAAAGGCTAATCTTGAATGATCAACACCTCACAGAAAACTCCTTGATCGACAAACAACGCTCTTGGGCTTTCTAAAGTGGAATATTTGATCAAATGAGTCAGTTTATTTGAAGCGTATGTCAAACCAACCAATACACCGAGCCATCAAAACCTTACCGCTGTGGAATCCATTGTAAGGCCGTTTAGCGAGTTAATTTACTACAAATGGCAGATGTGGAATTAGCTAATGCTGCAAATGGAACAACAGCGCGTTGGCGAGCTTTGGTACTCAACGGATCGGCAAGAAACACTGCCATAACTACTAAACAACCATCTCTAGGCAAAGATTCTTCAACGTTAGATATCCATGAACCCGTCGCTGACGCGAAGGATTATTCCGTCGACATAGGTCTCATTCAACGAAGGACGTACCTGCTATCAGCGGGAATTGGAGACACGAATAAGGTTTTTAATCGCATCAAGGGATGGATAGGATTGATAATTTGGGCCTTGAATGTTATTATTCACTTTGGACTAGACTTTTACGAAGCAGTATTTGTCTTTGAAGTGTCGTGGGCGACTTGTATTGGAGTGTTCTTAGTAACACTTCTGGCTTGTTGTTACTCGATGATAAAACATTCAGTGCCTTGGTTTATTAAAGGAGTGAAAAAACTCAAGAAAGACGGACACTACCCGAAAACTCTACGACGTGTTTACCTTATATTCAAGGTGAGTATGTGTCTATTGACGCATCCTTCGTAATCCCCTACTGTTTGTAGATTTTGACATAAAAATGGGTTTGATTTCTCATCATCGCGTTTCTGTTGTCTAATGTTTCGTGGCGTGCGTGTAGCTGATAGATTTTATTTTGTGACCAGAACCCTAAAGCTTTCCATTCTTCCTGCCAAACCGCCGCCATTACCAAACAATTTATTTCTCATTTATATCGGACTCTCCTCGCCTTTACAAGATTAGACAAGATTACGCTCCTTCGTATTGGATTTCGAGAAAAGGAAAGTGCTGTTTAACTCATGCCTGCGAATCATTAAAATGTTGACAGAATCCTTCGTACGTTACTCGTTTTTTCTGTAGATGAGTTCTGGAAAAAATTCTTGCAATAAAATAATTTCGACGCCACCTGAGACCCATTCGAAAGCATGCGAGGCTAATGGCCTATTATGAATGCTCTTTGACAGCTATTAATCTTTTAGTATAATTATGTTCCTCTTTGTATTGTGGAGTCAGAGGTCGCTCGATTTTTTAGTTACTTTCATTATAGAGATCTTAAAGTTGTTCTGCAAAAGTGATTGCTTGCCTTGAAGAAATATTTTAGCAACAAGACGCTTGTGTTACACTTTATGATCCGGGTATGTCTCGCAGTTGCCAATATTTTGTTGATTTTAGTTTCAAAGATCACCCGCAGCTTTGTATGAGAAATCATTCTCAAAATACCACAGAGCCCACTTAATGAATATTTTCAATTATTAAGGATCACCCCTAGTGTCTTGTAATAAGGAATTAGCTTTGAATGGTCATAATTCAAGTGAGAACAAAGATAATTTTAGATTACAGAATTTCTTTACATTTGTAGACACAAGGTTAGGATCCTGTACTTTTCTTGAAATCAATATCAATGTTTTTCTTTTGAACATTAGTCCTATTCTATGTTTTTAAGTCTAGTAACATCAATGTCATGTGTCATGTTCTTTTATTTAGAATCGTGTATCAAGGTGAACTGTGTGTGCCAAACTTATGAAACGAGAGGTCAAATCGTCTTTGGTTTTAATTAAAAATGCAAATGAGTAATTGGGCCGATATTAAAACGTAACTATGGTTACCGCTGTCTCAATTAGCAATCATTTATTTATTGCCCTTTCACGTCAATCGAATGTTTTGTTTGAGAAGTATTATTTTCGCAGCGTAAATTTTTTCTTCGGAGATAAAACGGCAAAGATACTTTTATAAACGGGAACATTGATAATGATGACATTGATAACGCAAATTTGACGTAACTTCCTTTAAATTCTATAAAATTTTAATTTAACACAATTTAATTTTAATTTAAATAATCATCACAGAATCTTACAGCTAAATAGAACTTAATCGAGAAAAATGCAGATTACTAGAGAGATAAACAAATTCCCACTGGAAGAAATCTGAAATCGTTTTAGGAGTGTTTTCACTATCTCGGTTTTGGCTCGAAATAAAATTTGGTATGATTCAAAATTTCGATAGCCAGCTAATAGTTCGGCGGAAAAATTATGTAATTTTAAATTGAAAACATTGCTTGCGGTGAGAGAACTCGCCTCTAACCACAGTGGACTGGGCTCGGTTCCCACACCTGGCCTCCCATCTGGGTTTAGTTTGTTGTTGGCTATCTTTCGGTTCTTTTTTTCCTGTTTTTCTAGTTTTGTCCCCTCCACAAAAACCAACAAATTGTAACTTGGCCCGGCTGAATGTATCCCTGCAAACGAGTTTCTAAACTCAAGGGTATAAGGTGAATGAACAAATTACAATAACGTAACATACCTCAGACGTTAGTATATAAACAATTTTTATGTCTAATGTCATACCAGCAATTTGAAGACTGTCATTTTACCCATAAAATGATTCACATCCAGTGGGAAATTTTCAGTCTCTTCTCTTTGGGCTGCTCACTTATCTATTTGTAGGATTATTTTCGGCAAGAAAATCATCTGATTCAGGTTGAGAGATGGAGAAGGATCTGTTCTTGGAAGCAATAAGTAGAGTCAGCCATGATAGGTTCTTAAGTCAGACAAATCTTTTGTGGTATCTACTCTGATTAGGAGTACTTGGCTGTGAAATCTCATCAAGGCGCAATAGTCATTTCATTTTGGTCGCCAGTTTGAAAACTGATCTACCCAAGCTCTAACTAGTATTACGATGACCAGTTCTGTTCCTATCAGAGACATACATCTTTGTACCTTCTTTGACCTGAAGCTATTGACTATGTAAGGAAAAAAATGTCATCCAGGTTAAAGAAATTCTAAGTGAAAATTTTGGTTCCTAAGACCCGATCGTAGCTGTTACAAATACTTCTGAACCTTGCCAAGAGAATTCATGATATATTACTAATATATCAGAATCACTCAGTGCAGTCCACAAGTTTAGCAATTTTTGATACTACATTTTTTGTGAATTTGATAGTGTCCACTTGTCGTATCTGAAACCTAGATATGGCTTAGCTTACCAGATCGGGGCTTGAGTTCGACTTAGGCTTGACTTTGTCCAACGCTTGAGATAAATGTCTTTGAGAAATTCATCAAATCAGTTCTTTGTTTGTCTCCTTAGTTTATGCCAATAGTTGTGGTTATGTTTGCGATGGGAGCCGCCATGGGACAGTTTGGTTGTTACGCATACGATGGAGCCCTTAAATTGAGCTTTTCAAAGCTTTCTAATCAGACAGGAGTGAAAATACCAACAGGGATTGATGTGCTCTTCAACATCCTCAGAGCGACGAGCCTTTTCCACATCTTCTATGGCTTCTGCCTAATTCTCGTGTTTCACATGAGTTTAATCTTCATGCTTCAAAGCTCCATGCGTGAATTCAATGGTATGTTAGAACAGTATAAAGTGCAGGGGTGGATCCAGGTTTTTATGAGAAGGGGGATGGGAGATAGAGAATACGTATTGGCTGTTAAACTATAAAGAGCATGAAGAAATCTGTCAGTCTGCTGCCCTGTTCCGGAGAGGAGCCAAGCAAGCCACACCCCTCCCCGGATCCTTCCGCGCCTACAGTGTGGACGTAGTTCTCAATTAAGATTTTCTTAAGATGTTATTTTGTCCCAATGCATTCTGCTTAAAAGTTAAGGGATTTCAGAAGAAGAGTATATACAAAACTTGGGATATATTTCTTCTGTATCTACACATGTCTTTACTCCTGACAAACATAAATCAGCTATATTTAAAGGAATCATCTCAACATTCTTTTCGCCGTTTTCCTTCTATTTTTCAAACTACCCATTTCTAATTGTAGTCCTGTTAATCGATTGACTGAACAAAATACGGATTCCAACTGAAAAGGACGATTATTGATTTTGTTGAGCTACAATTCTGACTAACCTGTTTTTTAGACGCTACTGTTCATTTGGTGCCTTTTGAGTAAAACTAAAATGCGACTTTCGATGTCTTTTTCATTTTTTTTACAGATCGTATGGGTAAACTTTTCCGTGAAAACCCAATTCAAATCGCTTTCCCTGAAGCTGTCAATCTATTCTCTGCAAGAGCAAAATTTGTCCGCGAAGGGAGTCAAAAGAGTACGGTAAGATCACATTGTTCATTGAAGAAATACAGTTTGCTGTGTATGGTGGTAGACGACGAACTTTTTCTTGTTCATCATAATTCCAAGTTCTGTGAGAGGGCAAATGATTAATGCAAGGTACCAATAATATGCCGCACGCTATTATGCCAGAAAATTACTAATGCTTTATTACATGGCACTGATAGTACTGCACCTCTCATTTAGCTCCGCTGTATGGCAATATTTTAAATATTAACTTTGCTCCGCTATGTGGCGTCTTTTTCATCTTAGCATTTCTAGTCTCCATTGTGTCGCCTTTATCTCAGTTATGGTAATTATTTGCAGCAGATGTGTTTATATCTTAAGCAACAAGCCTATTTAATTTATCTAGAATATCTTTACGATTCATTGACTGTAAATTAGGGGGACCAATATTCTTTATTACTGGAGCAGTTCTTCGAGAACAATATTCAGTTTATACTCGTTAGGATAATGACCGCTTGAAGGTAGAATTCCATGGACGAATGGATAAGAATAGTTTCTTTTCTTAACGAACCAACTGTAGCAATTCAAGAGTTCGTATTAAACACACTGCTTGTTTTGCTGTAAGCACACAACAGCTTTCTTTTTAGATAAAATTCATCACTTAGCTCGCCATTTATGTAAGAGGCCTTTCAGTTCCATTATCGAGTCTTTAGCCATTTGATATCTTTTCATTTTACAGGTTGTTCTTACCACTCTCTTGGTGGCCTGTAGTGCTTCCTTCGTTCTTAATGCTTACAACTTTTTATTCCTGAAACGCTTTGCTATTTACGTGTGGTTCGCCATCGCTCCCCTCATCTGGGTGGTTTGTCCTCTGACCGGAGCGGCCTGGGTTACTAAGACTTACGTGAGGTACAAGTTAGTGGTGGTGAATGCGTGGGTGGATATACCTGAGGTATGATGGTTTTTTCTTCTCTTGACGTTGCTCAGTGTAAATGATTCAGACGTTCATAATTGAGACTTGAACTCTCATTTTACTCAATCAATCAAAGAAACAACAACAACAACAACAACAAACAGAAACAAAATCTTCTCGATTTTCACAACGACGATTTCCTTTTCTTTTATTGGTCGTTCTGATTTTTTAAGTTTAGTTTCGCGACACACAATCTGATCGCAATTTATCATTATTTCTGTAGTGTTAGGATCAGTTTCTTGAACTAAATTAAGAATTTATTGTTTTGCTGAATTACATAAATATCACATAAAGAAATAAATGCTATAAGAAAAAATGGCAAACACCCTTTGAATAACCACGATAATGGTACAACCTTCAGGAACACGAACTTGAGGCTTCTGCGCATGACTTCCTGCATCAGACCAACTCCGACGGTCGCTCCAAGTCTCCCTCTCCCTCCCTAAAGAAGAAATGGGGCTCCACAATAAAACGGTTAGGACAGAAGGAACCAGTGCAGCAATCCACCACAAAGGGGAAGGATTTTGTTGGAGTTAATAATCCAGGCTATAAGAACGACGATACCAACAAAACTACCGTCCCAACTGAAACAAAAAGAGCAAATTCAAGGTAATCTTTCTCAGAAGTGCGCAACCTTAGCATAGGACCGATAATGGGACGGAATCTACGCATGCTTGACTGTTGAAAAAAAATTTTAGAACGCATAGAAAAAGTCTCGAACGCATAGCCATCGTTGTTCTTAACCAGCGGAGAATATGCAATAAAATCTGGTCAAATCCAAAATTTTCCTGACAGCTGATCGGCTAGTTGAACAACGACAATGGAAACACATTAGAGACAAGTTTCTCCAAGTTTCTTTGTAATATCTGAAATTAGCGGTTTCAATTAGTGCTTTTAAATTCTTGGCGCTGATCAAAAGGATCGTGTTTCTGGGAACGAGATTGGAGAGAAAATGCGAGGATTTTATCAAATACGGTTCATCGACTGAGTAGCTTTTGCCCGAAAAAAGTTAGTCGAATGTTTGTTTTAGATCAACACATTTATCATTTTGATTGCCGTATGCTTTCGTTGTAACTTGAGTTAATTTATTTTCTGATATTTCAAGGCACGGTTTTAATTGTGTACATCTGGAGTTGTGTTTGATTAGGACAGGGGAGGTTTCAAGTGCTTTTAGTTGCTTCTGGCCTCCATTTTCCAGACTTGATACGGGTGTCTGTCTTAGATTCCTCTCGGTTCATTTTTTTACTAAAATCAGTTTGTCTGTTTAACCTTTCAACTCCCATAAGTGACTAAGACAGAATTTCTCCTTACATTAACGATACAAGAGCGAGAAGACAAGGCATGAAAATAGAGAAAAAGAGGATTTTTAGTTGATCCAGTACCAAATTCTCCAACTAACATCAATAATTGTATGATAGACAGAAAAGAGAATTTCCAAGCGAGATCTGGGAATGAAAGGGTTAAAGCTATGGGCTAAAGCGACTTGTATCTAATACAGCTTTTATATTATTTCTCAAGGAAAAACAGCGAAATATCTCTACATTTCTCTGCTGATGAGAAGACATCGAAGGTCAAAAGAGGATCCTTCCATGGCACAACGCTCAGTAAAACCCCTGAGATACTACTCACGGATTGTGATCAAGTCTCGCAAAATGTCGTTCCCGCTCAAGAGTTCTCCTACGGAAAGATGAAAAGATCAAACAGCGATTCAGCATTGACAGACGTCGAAAAAGTGAACAGATCATTTTTACATCAGGACGTGGTTCAAGGTTCATCAAGTGAAAACGTCTCAGAGGATGTACCCCAGACGCATGTGGTGCGAATCGACATAGAAGGCTCACAGTCTTCAGAAAGTCAAGGTAACCAAACAACTTCCGTTTCCGGTGATGCTTTCACGACTTCCTCTGAATTTCAAACCAGTTTTTCCACTTCAACGCGAAGCTCTGATGGCGAGCAGTTAAAAGTTCCTGGCCAAGAGGAAAACGCTAGTGGAACGAACGAAAACAAGGATTCTCTTCCCAAGACAAATTTTCTTACTGGAATGGCGAAGACTTTTCATCAGTGGAGAACAAAAACAAAGAAAAAGAGGAAGTTTAATTACGAAAAGTACATTATATACCTGGAAAGCATTCTGCCAACTGTGGGTTTTTCAATCGGGGGAGTAATAATAACATTTAACGGAATTTACACTTTTATTGTAGTTTTGTCCTTTTTAGTCGGGGTTTTCGCTCAAGAAGCCTTTTTCGGGAATTAAAAAATGACAGGGGAAAGAAAAACAAATTGCGATTAAAAAGGACCATTATGGGAGTAGAGGGAAAAATATGGGAGTCGGTTGAGTAAGCTTGAAAGTACAGGAAATTATTTTATGTAAATTATTTAAATTGAATTAATTTTTATATTTATACTAAAACTATCAGGGTCGGCTAAATTATGTTGATGAAAAAGTCGAGTTTTTCTTCTATACTATTACATTTGTATCTTTGGACGAGTAAGATGAGTATATAGTGGGTTTTTTTTCTATGAACAATAATGTACATCGCTTGATTCAATAAGCTATTTGCGAGATGCCTCATGCCTATGCTTTAAGGCCCGGATAAGTGCGATGCCCTTCACCAGAAAATCATTTCTTACTCCTGTACAAATGAAAGTCATTTTCTCAAGAAAGATTTTGCACATAGCCTCGTTTTGAAAGTGAGGGCTTTTGAAACTCGGAAATACCCAATTTCTGTACGTGTAACATAGAAATTTAGTCTCGGTTTGATCATTACATATTTTTTTTTACATTGTGGCGTCGCTCCATTCAAAGCTGTCCGTAAACATCTGCCAGTGGTTCGTGCAAAATTACATCAATTTTCAGTTTAATCCACCATCAGAGAAAAAGTTATGTGAATATTGTTTTTAAATTCATTTTCATTCATTTAAATTGTTGTACCTGGTGAAGTGTTAAGTTTTTTGGCTCGATCTGATAAAATCATAAATGAAAGTCATCATAAAATCATAAATGAAAGTCATCATAAAATCATAAATGAAAATCATCTCTGGTCTACAGATTTTTCTGGGGGGGTAAATTGGAAAATTTGAGAGGAATATTTTCGGGATAAAAGTTTTACAAAAGGGTAGCTAGAAATTAATTTTGTAGTTGCTAACAAAAAATTATGATGAGTAACGAAATAAAAACAATATTCTTTGAAAGGAACTTTATAGTAACTGGTGGTGACGAAAAAGCTAAGTGGGTCTTTATTTACGAATCAGACAATTATTTTAGTACAATTTTGGAAATAAAGCGACCAGAATGGCCGCCACGAGGTTTACAAAGTTTCAGACTCAGTTGCAGGGGTTAAAAATAAAAGCCGCCGGTTATCGGTGGTCTTTCGCCGCGTGTGAGACCCCCGGTTCACCGCTGTCTGTTTAGCCTGAGTGCAGGCTCTTGTGTTTGGGTCACGACTTACGGCACAGCCGCCTATCATACCGATTCTAGCTGTTTTGGAAAAAGTTACGAGAACTCCATGCTCAGTTGAACCTTTAGGCACCTGGCATTTGGCAGCTCTAGCCGCAAGGAAACAACTTGATGTTTCCAGTGCGAACAGAAATCGAAAGTAAACTCCTTGTGAGTTTATGCGTGTGGTTGTGCTTTCTCGTGTGTTGTTTAAGCCAGATGGATTGGAGATTATTTTGATTCACTGTCTGGAATATTGGTTTCTTTCAACCCTTAATTTTTCCTTGCGTCATCGATGCAATATTGAGAATAAATAAAAATATCAACTTGAGGATTTTTAAGGTCATCCCGAATACTAATTTCTTCGAACTAACATAATAAGAATTGTATGTGAAACATTAAGGAGTATTACTACTGAGATCTTCATAATGGAAGGGTTAATCCTCTTCGTGTTTCGCGGGTGGTTCATACGGCAGAAGAGTGAAAACTGACTTTCACTGCCCATAGGACAGGGTTAGTTCGTTTTGTTTCCAGAAGTTGAAGACGTCAGCTTAGGACGACCTTTCGATCACAAAACGACTAATTTTCCCAGTAACATGCTGAAAATACCACCTCATAGCGATAACACGACGTCCGCCCCTTCAAAATACTGAACTACTACGTAGCTTAAAAAATGTGATCAGCGCTCACGGTCAAAAGTAACATGTATACAATATATCATGTACATTTCGGAAAGGATGGTCCAACTAGTCAGGATGGACCAACTAGTCAGTTAGCACCCTTACATTTGAGTTGTCCTGTCTGTCGTCCTCTGCTTGCTCTCCCTTCAGGTCTCAGAGACATCCACAATCCTCTGATTAGTCTCATTTCTGCCTTTCTCAAGGCGTTGGATAAAAAAAAAAGCAGTGAAACCAAGTCACCTCAAAAAATTTCTTTAATAAAAAGCATTAATAAAAAGCAATCTCTTTAAATGGAACCGGTTTATACAATTATCATTTTATAGGTATTTACAAAGTCAGCAATAATAACTAGTCACACTTATAATCTTTTTGAGAAACGGTTCGGAGCAGGTACATTGCACAGAAAAAAAAAAAGTTCACGTCCATGTCCCATTTTTTCCTCTGTGAACTCTGTATCTGTTTTTGCAGCGGTCAATCTCTCTAGTGTTGTGCGCCATTCAGTAACAACAACAACAAAAAAACACCCATCTAAAATTATCTGATACCACAAGCGTAACAAATACGTTAAGAACACAACATCGCCTTTTCAGGTTTTCGATCAAAATTTCTCATCCTGCTAACGCTCACTTCCAACTAAGAGCAAAGAAGTGTCATCGCTTTAAACAACTGATATCCGATCTCGTCACACACGAATGTTTCTGGCATTTACGAGGGTAAAAGTTGTTTTACATTCTAAATAATAACACACTGTTCTTGATAAAGAGCGGATCTCACTAACCTGCCTGCAGGCTCTGCAGAACATAAAACATATTCTGATTCATAAAAAACATCAAACGTAAAATACTATTTACTAAGGTCAAGGCTGGTGACCTGATCAGATTTTTGGAACACTGACACATGATTCAAAACCTGAATAACGCTGTGTTTTCAATATAATTGATTTCTCTATATTTTTTTCTCATAGTAAAAAGAAATAAATAGGTAACTTTCAGCGTCTTTTTCTATCTTTCTTGTTCAGCCACTAGACTTCGTTTCAACTTCTGTATCAAACACCTTATCAAACTGTCCTATTGTCTGTGAGCTCTTATTGGTTCTGCTCTGCACTTCAAGAAATGAATTCCATCTGAGGTCTTTGTTTTGTTTGGCAATTGCTAGGCATTCCTGAAGAAACTCTACCGGGTTTTCGGGTCGATTGTGAACAACTGCAGTCAAAAGGCTCTGAAACGAGAAAATTTACATCAAACGTCATCCCCCATAGATTCTTGGTTAAAAGCGTACCAGCTCAAGGGAATCTTACTGTATGGCTATTATATTTTTCTCGGTGTTTCAGCATTATTTGCCGTCTGTATATGCCCCTTGTTCCACAGGTGGAAGATAGTTAAAGTTAAGTCCATCCCCGGGACCCTAATCCGGGACTTATCACATGAAGCAACTATGGGAGGGATGTAAAGAGGATGTTAGGTCGTCACCGGTTACCCACTTGCACTTGGCACTTGGTCGGGTTAGCTAACTGTTTTTAGAGTCCTCGATGGAAATGAAGGCTGCGGTGCCGCCAAAGCGAACGGCTGAGCTTCGAGCGGTTTCTCCTGTTTTAACGTTTAAAACCTCAGGAGATTTCGCCGCTCGTTTCCAGCGCACTCGATCTAACGACGGCCAGCTACACAGGTTATTTCCATCCCCCCCTCCCTTCCCCCACGGCAACATCGAAGGGGGAAGACAAAAAGCTAAATTTTCTGAGACAATAATTGAACATTGTTCAAGTTGTTTTTTTATCATTGATAGGGATGTATGGGGTTTATGAAACATGAGAAGGGAGTCCTCTAGAGCAATCCTCACCTGTGTTGCATGTACCCCAGATCCCGGGCAACCGCAGCCTTTCGAAGCTTTTAAGATTACGGATTGGCAGGATTGGGTCAGTTGCGAAGAGAATCCCTTGAGGACACTAACTCGAGCAGTGTACCAAAATGTTTGTTTTATATAACGTAATAAGGCCATTTATATCAGCGAATATTGAATTTTCATCTTTATCACCAATCAGCAGTTAAAAATCGTAAGGAAACTCAAAATAGGGTACATAGTGACTGACAAGGTTTGAAATATTTCCTAAGGAGCTAGGAATCATCAGTCAAGAGCTTTGTTGACATCATCAGTTGGTATGTCAAGATCAAACTGAATATAACCAATATGTCCCCCCGCCTTCCTGATAATACAAATCGGTTACTTCGTCAAGCCTTTTCTTCTTTTAAAGTTTGGACCTTATATACACTAACACTGGATATAAGTGGCCAAAAAATTGAGTCTAGTCAAACATATGCAAATTGCGTTAAAATTCCTGGTTATCTTTTGGTCACGAGCAAATCTTATTTACCGTATTTAATCGATTAAACGCCGCCCTCGAATAAACGCCGCATCATCATGCGGTGTTTATTCGAATAATAGACTCAAAAAGCACATGGTGATCATTGCTTCGATTGCAGTTGGAGATTTTGAGTGAACCAGGCACAAATCCTTTTGAATGTACCAGTTCTGATGTCGAGAAAGCATACCCGACTTAAAATTTTTATTCACTTTATGTATTGCAGTAATACAAACATGCAAATTGTGAAATTGAGAACAATATTAATAACAAATGACTTTTCAGAGAAGCACTAAAACATGTTTCGGTGTTTTTTTTTTTTAATTAAAATGATCAGCTACCCAAGTATTGTTTACAAATAATAATTGGTTTTTTAGTAAACGTCGCACTCGAATCATGAAAAATGTAATAAACGCCGCTGCATTTAATCGAATAAATACGGTATGGTATATCAAATCATTGAATACGTAACCAAGGACATTGCGCACAGTTACTTAATTCTATCGCTGTGTCATTTTACAAATACCCCACATTAAATAATGATATCCAAGAGAAAGGACATTGCCATTGCATGATTTAAACTATGAAACTGAAGGGTAAAACCATCAGTCGTCAAAAAATCATAACGTAATGTGTTTTGTTGTCATCCTGATTGGTTTACCGGGAATACCTTGGTGACCTCGAAATGTGAAACTATGTCGGTATATGACAGAATTATGAGCCATTTTACTCCGGAGGGAAAGCTTTAATACATATGGGAGAGGTTCGAAAGAAAATAAGTTTTAAATATGATTTTGATCTGCATAGGAACATGTTAGTTCTTGGTTTTCTTATTGTCGCAATCGTGCAATTATGATGTCCGTGTAACTACGAAACTGAATTAATTAACATCGCAAGTAATTGTTTAGCCAAACAGCTTAAAGCGAAAATGTTTCAGATAGAACTAAGGAATGATTTTCTATATGCGTAGTGGTACTGTCCCAAAGTGAACAGATTTCCTGTAGGATGTTGACTGAAAAAACGCCTCTCTTGTTTCAGATAAGAACTCGAGTGATCCGATGTCATTTACATTCTTTCAGCGAACGATCAACAAATCTCCCCTCTAAAAACAAGACGAATGGAAGATATTCCTCACCTCGAACAATTGGAAAACATTTTTCTTTGCCATGTATACTTTGGCTTCCTCGATATCCTCGGCAAAATCGAGATTGGATGCCATGTCTTCGCTGTTCTATCCAAGCGGCGCTACTTTGGTAACAAGACGGGGAAGAAAAATAGTCGGAAATATGAGTGGTCAGCGGTAAAATGGCTTTGATGGCTTCTGTAAAAACAAATCATTCGTGGTTCCAGTAAGCAATCTTGTTATAAATCCCGAAATGTTAACAGTTTACTTCGCTAAATAAAAAATCAAGCAATTTTTTAAAAGTATTGACCACACTAATATACTTTGGTGGTATTGCGTGACCGTCGTCAGCTGGAATAGTCACGTAATAGTGAAATGAATAATCCCGGCCTGCAGTGTTTTCGGGTCAGAGGTATTTTTCAATAAAGTTCTCTGTAATGGCGGACGAAATGACGAGGGCAGGAGGAAGAAGGCTCTCTGTGCTGTATGGCTCTCAAACTGGGACTGCCCAAGAAGTTGCTGAAAGAATCGGTCGAGAAGCAAAAAGAAGATACTTGTCAGCGAGTGTTTTGGCTCTAGACGATTACAATGTGGTATGCCTATCATCAGATGTCTATAGTTATGTTAAGATATTTTGTTACGTAAGTACATGGTAGGTATTATAATGACTTGCATACTTTTTCAGATGAAGCTGATTGAAGAAGAGCTTGCGATATTTGTATGTGCAACAACAGGTCAAGGAGATGAACCTGATAATATGAAGGTTGTTACAGCTATACTTTTTATTCTATGGCAAAATGTTCATTGATTAATTTTGAGTTATTTTTATTTAAGAGTCTTAATAGATTTTTCCTTAACTTTCCCTCCAATCGTTAGTGATTCGTTAGTGAGTCGAATTTTAATGGAGTAGAATTGCTTTTATAAGGCTTGAAAAAAAACCACTGTTATAAATATATCTTTTTTAATTCTGAGCAACCCTCTCTTGATCTTGCAGAGTAAAAAAAAGCCTAGTTCTTACTGATTGAGCTTTGTTCCATAATAACTTCAAAAATATTAAATAATAATTTTTAAAAAGTGCTCTTAACTCTTTTACTCTGATTTTCCAGCTTGTTAGATCACAAGAGAAGCTAATCATGATTATCTTCCATCTATAAAGTGGGAGAACTTCAAAATTTATTCTTCAGTAAAATGAAATAGTTATAGTTGTACTTGATTAACAAGAAAATAAAAAATCAAAATAAAACAACAATAACAACATGTTTGATCTTTTATAGAAATTTTGGAGATTTATCCTCAGAAGAAACCTTCCTGTTAATTCTCTATCTGGGTTGTCATTTGCAGTCCTAGGCTTAGGAGATTCATCATATCCAAAGTAGGTTTAGATGGTGATGGGAATGAAAGATATGATTTAACCCTTTAACTCGCATGAGTAACCAAGACAGAATTTCTCCATGCAGTATCAATACAATATCAACCAGATAAGTGATGAGAATAGAAAAAAATATCAATTAGGGGATCATAAGTTGATCCAATACTAAATTATCTGAACTAACATTGTAAGATTTGTATTGTTGACAGTAAAGAAAATTACAAATTTGATGTGGGATTTAATAGGTTAAGGTGGCTGGGAAATATCTCAAGATAAGGATTTTGTGAAAGTCAGATTATCAGAATTTTGATTCTGTCATGATGATAAATAGTGGATACTATAAATCTGAAGTAATTCATCATCAGTCTACTCTGATTAAAGTAATTTTTGATTTATTTTTATTTTATAGATTTAACTTTATTGCCAAGAAGCTCAATAAAAGACTGATCCAGTTGGGTGGTAGAGAACTGCAAAGGGTTGGCCTAGCAGATGACCAGCATGATCTTGGGTATGTTCCAAGTTTGGGATTAGCAAGTTGTGAATCTTTTCTTCCAAATCAACTTGTGTCTGTTTGTCAACTTAGGTTGGATCAACAAGTACTTATGTGTAGTTGAAGAGTAGGGGATAATACAACAAGAATATCTTAATTGAATGGAACCTAAAAGTATGGGGTCAACAATGCCGCCTCCTTTGAAAAAAAAATCCACCTCTCTGTCCTCCCTTGGAGGTCTTAGCATGCAATATTTGTCAGTTGTAACTTGCTCATGGTAGTTGTTTATTATAAATCATATGTCCTGAATAGAAGGACTAAAGTTCTAAAGACTAAAGTTCTAGCACATAAGGACACTACTGGTATCCTTGAATATTGAGTTAAAAAATACATCAGTTAGTGCATCCTATAAGACAAGTGCACTTATGGTAGGAAAGTAAAGAATCAAGTTTCTTTTTCTTTTGACTTAGGCCAGATGCAGTTGTTGATCTGTGGTTGCAGCAGCTATGGGAAAAAATGCTTAGAATACATCCTCTGCCAGCTGGAAAGGATATCATCAGTGCTAATGTTAGGTAAAGTGGCAATGTCTGTTCCAGACTAGGATTGCTCCCTATCTTCTTGTGAATTTTTGTCGTCAGTATTATTAAAGAGATCATGAAAATTAAACACTGAATTAGCTTTAAACAAGACTGTTTTTCCTGGGAGACATTACTTTGGTAGAAAGGACAGCACAAATTTAAGAAGTGCAACAAAAGGTACAATATTATATTTGAATGTTCTTGATTTCATGCCTGGAAAAAAAAAAAACCTCTTTTTGTCTTCATAAACATTATGTTGTCATCCAATATGCATAAGAAAATAACAGGAAATTGGACAGATGTAGTGAACACATAAAGGTGCACTGAATTTAAGAATTTTATTGATTTGCTCTTTAAACAGGCCTCACTCAAGATTCAAGGTGATCTTTGTTGATACCAGTAATCATGTAACAGAGGACACAAACAAAGCATGTGAAAGCTCTTTGATAGAAAATGGAGGTAAGCTGACAGAAGTAAAAATGTTGTAGTTATGGTTCAATAGTGATTCATACTTTGATTCAAAAGCTCTTGGTCTCTTTTCCAATGTCTTTATCCAAGCAGTTATGTCAGATTCCAGTCCAAGCAGAAGACATCCTTTCAATGCACAGCTAATATCAAACAACCGTGTGACTTCACCAGATCACTGGCAAGATGTAAGACTGGTGCAATTTGATATCAAGGGTTCTGGAATAAGGTACTAACACTGCTTAAATTTAATTTATTGAAAAGTCATGGTTTAAATGATTTCTGGTCAAATTTAAATCAGACAAATTTGATTAATTTTATGTCTTTCTTTATTTGACCCTTACATATCCAAGATCTCAAAAGAAACTCTCTTGCCATCTTTTATACAATTTTTTTCCATATTTTGCTCTTATAATTTGGTATCAAATCATTTGCCTAAAATGCTTCAATGTTGGGAGGAATAATTGTAAACAAAATGCTTTTATTAATGAACACAGATAGGAATTCTTTTGGAAAAAATATTTGGAGACCTGAGTTATGTTTAGTATGATGGAAAAGATGTGAAGCCCACATGACACATTGTTCTACCCTACTACACATCTTGACCTTACCAACAGCTGGTTAATCCTCTAGCATGGTCTGTTTTCTTGAATTGAACATATTGTCTCCATATGAGCAAAATTAGTTTTTAAAGCTGACTGCTGGACTGCACAGAAATATTTCTAGTAATTTTTTGTTCCATTTCCATACTGGTAGAATTCTTGCGAGACTTACACTGTAACTTTTATGTCATCTTAAGATGTTTTATTGGGGCTACACAGGCTTAATGAGAGACTATTTTAGTGGCCATGAAGATTGTCTGAGATACTGTAATTTTCAGTGATCCATCAGTTACCTTCTTCTTAACCAAAAAATGCCAGTTGTAAACAAGCTTGTCATGTTTGTATAAATAATAGATACTTAAAACACACCGTACAAATATCCACTAATTCCACTAATTTTATATTACTTATTTGGCTGTGAGGTGAGGAGATTGCCATTATTTCATTGTAAAACGTCAATTTGTTTTTGTTGGTGCTCTTATTTAGCCACTCTCCAGGTGACGTTCTCATGGTGCAGCCAAGTAATCTGCCTGATGTTGTACAAGAATTTATGAATCTTTTATCACTAGAACCCGAAAAAATGTTCTGTCTTGAGCAGAATGATCCAGGTTAGTGGTTTGTAGAACTGATAGCTGTCATTTAAAAGATGCACTCATCTGCTGAAGTGATTGGATTTTAGAATGTTATTACAATGCCAGAGTTTTTTTGGTCATATTAGTTCAGCATGTGGCATGGAAAATTCAGGATCCTTCCGTGGGATGTGGTAATTTTTTGGCATCTTGCTGTACAGTTTGTATTTAATGCTTAGTTAGGAAATTCCTTACAAAGCCCCTTTAAGAAAAATCTGTTTTCAAAACAGCTTGTGCCTTTCCACCATGATTAAATGTTGAACTACATGATTTAATGTGACAGATCTCCCTGTTCCACACCAGCTTCCTCAGCCTTGCTCCATTAAGCACCTTGTGGAACATTATCTAGACATTCAAGGTGTACCAAGAAGATACTTCTTTGAGCTTCTTTCCCACTTCACAAGTTCAGAGCTGGAAAAGGAAAAACTTCAAGAGTTTTGCTCTGCAGAGGGACAGGTATTAATAAATTTTGTGGTCTAACTTTAACTTGAAAAGCAAATCTACTTATGATAATCAGCATTGGTATAAAATGATGGCTGAATTTGAGTCAGCACTCATGTGCAAATGAAGAGTTTTCTGCATGCAGGCCACAATATTAAGCCTTCAAAGTTCACTCCGATTGTGCCATATTGGATGTAGAGAACCAATTGTGCAGAAACACTTGCTTAGGAAAAGCCTTTGAGGCTTCAGTGTTTTCCATTTGACATGCTCAAGGTTTTAAAAAAACTTGTCATTCTGAGAAAGAAAGTATCAGTTCCTCATAATATCTCGCCAAAATGTGATTGAAAAGTGACAGAAGATTCCTCAAGTACATTCCATCACATACAACCCATGTATTTATTCCATGCCCTACGGTTACATATATCCCCTTTACACAATTGTTTCTAAATAGGAACAGTTTCAGGCATTCTCCTCTCTGAGAATTGCAGTTGTATTGAGTTGAAATTTCTGGTTCATACTTCTTGAACTACAAGTATCTCAATTGCTGTTGATTATTTTTGGTAGTTATTGTGACGAAGGGTCTACTTTACCGCTCTTTCAGTTAAACTCCTAGATATGCCAGGTTATCGCTTATTTTCACGCGAATGACTTGTGCTTTCAGGAGGAACTTTATTCATATTGCTACAGACAGAAAAGGACCACATTGGAGGTAAATTTGATTTTGTTATTCTGAAGCAAGGTGAATTAAATTTCTGAAGCACTCACCATCTTGGTGAGAGCAACTGAAGGTGATCAATTTATTTAACAGAGGTGATTTTGTCACATTTTTAAGACTTGCAACGGAAAAGAATTGTATACCGGTAAAATTACGACTCTGGGGATCTTTTATTCCCAGTTTCTGGAACATGTAGTCACTAGGGGTATTTCTATTCAACTTGAGCGGGATGCTGGTCCATTGAGCCCAGCAATTTCTCTGAAACTTTAAAATACCCATTTATACTCTTGGCAAGAGAGTGGCACTGTGGGAGGAAAAGGTCCTTCAAAGAACACAGTAGCACCGGCTAGGGCTTGTACTTTTCAGTGCGCTAACCACAAGGCTGCTGCGTGTCATCATTTTCAAGGAAACAGCAGGTTGAATAATCATACCTTAAAGATTCGATTTAGGGTCCTCTTTCCAATAGGCTCCCCTTCTCTAATAAGAGCCCCTCTCAAATTTGGTCTTGTTAATAAGCGCCCCTTTTGAGTAAGCATCCTTATTTCAATAAGGGTCAATACTCCTGTCTGAAATTGCCATCAAGCGCCCCTATTCCGTTTCAGTAATATCATTGTTTTAGTTTATGTACATTGAGATCAACTGTGGTCCACCTTCGTGTAACTGCTTATTTATAGTCTCATAATAAAACAATGGCCTTCGTCTCAGTCTCTCAACTGCTATGTGATCTCGTCTTAAAATTTGCGGCGACTAATTGGCTTTTCGTTTTAGCTAGGAAGGATCCGGAGACGACAAGTCCCTTTTCCAGTTTCTTGAGCCTTTTCAAATAAACATCGAAGCTTTATTCGGCACATTCTGCTTTTTTTTTTAAAAAAGAATAAGTGCCCTGTCCCTAATAAGCGCCTTCCTTTTGGTAACCG